GGTCTACTCCTTCGGGGCCCCGCCTCTGGGAGTCCCAGCCTTGAGGCCACGAGGAGCTAGGAGAGATGAGGGAGCCTTGCAGAGAGAACCTAGTATAACTAGGAAACCAGCGAGTTTGTTTGGTTTTACTGCGGTAAAATGCATGTAACAAAATTGACTGTTAACCAGTTTGGGGTTTTGTTAAAAGGTGGGTTTTTTTGTTGTTGTTTTTGTAAGTAATCTCTACACCCAACGTGGGCCTTGAACTTACAGCCCTGAGATGAAGAGACCCATGTTCTACTGACTGAGCCAGCCGGGTGCCCCACCATCTCACCCAGGCGTCAGGTACACTCACATTATAGTGCGGCCACTCCACCATCCAAAGTGACACTGTCTGCATTAAACACAGACTCCCTATGACTCCCCCCAGCCCCCAGGTCCCACCTTTCCCTTTTCTGTCTGGAGGAACTTGACAATTCTAGGGACTTCGTGTAAGTAGAGTCACACAGTATTCGTCCTTTTGGAACGGCTTGTTTCACTCAGCATAGTGTTCTCAAGGTTCATCCGTGTTGTAGCGTGTGTCAAAGTTCCTTTTTAAGGCTGAATAATATTCCACTTTATGCATATATCACATTTTGTTTATCCATCATCCATCACTGGACACTGGGTTGCTTCCACCTTTTGGCTGCTGTGAATAATGCTATGAACTTGTGCAATGCTATGAAAGTGTGCAAATATCTCTTCAAGTCCCTTTCAGTTTGGGAGGGGGGTATGCACCCAGAAAAGGAATTGCTGGGTCATCTTTGCAGATTTTTAAGTAGGAAATTGACATGATCTGACTTACACTTTTTTAAATGTTTCTTTAAGAGAGAGAGAGAGAGAGAGAGAGAGTGTGTGTGTGTGTGTGTGTGTGTGTGTGTGTGTGTCATGGGGAGGGGCCAAGAGAGAGAGATTGAGAGATTGAATCCCAATCTAGCTTCACACCCAGTGCAGAGCCCAATGCGGGGCTCAATCTCATGACCTCAAGGTCACGACCTGAGCCAAAATCAAGAGTTGGAAAAAATCACTCTGGGTTTTGGAGAATGCATCTGTTCCACAGAAATACCCAGATCTCTGTTTAAACATGGTGCCTTGGGGGCGCCTGGGTGGCTCAGTCGACTGAGCGTCCGACTTTGGCTCAGGTCATGATCTCACAGCTCATGGGTTCGAGCCCCACATCGGGCTCTGTGCTGACAGCTGGGAGCCTGGAGCCTGCTTCAGATCCTGTCTCCTCTCTCTGTCCGTCCCCCATTCGTGCTCTCTAACATTATTTTAAATAAATTAACAAACAAACAAACAAACATGGTGTCTTGAAACCATACATTCATGCCTCTTTCTTCCAGAAGGCTGCTTACTAAAATGATAGTAAAAAGATTTTGAAAGAAAAAAAATTAGTCCACAGGAAGAAACAAAGCAAAAAGATCAGTTGACAAAATTTTGGAAGCTGGGAATCAGATCACCTTTGACCTGAGAAATGGAGCATCAGTTGCCAGTATTGTGGGGAAACCAAGAACAAGCTCAGTTAGTCCAGTGAGTCTGGAAGAATCTGGGAGTTACAGGCCATAGCCCCACCTCTTAGGAAGGGGATAGGGTTGAACAAAGGAGGACTGATTGAAGAGCCTTTAAGAGACTGTCGTCTGCACACCCTCCGTGACCTGTACCCTCAGGTGAATACCTCACCTCCATCATGGCAGAAGACATTCATTCCGGAGGATTTAAACCAGAAGGACTGTGGATCTGAGGACACCAGACCACGGAGACAAAGATACAGCAGTACAGCTGAGATTATGGAGTTCACATACTAATAGGACCTCTAACTCTTTTCCTCTAGTTAGCCACAAGAATGTTGGCCACTAGGCTTATACCATGCTCTGCTACAACCACGACCCTTCTGCTGGGCAAGAAATTAAAGAATTCCTCTCTGGGAAAACTGACCAGTCTAAGAGAAAAGGCCTCAGTTACTGAAAATGAGTCATCTCCAGCCAAATTGGTCAGCCCACACTGAGGGTACCACCTGAGTGTCTCTGACTCTTAAACACTGATGTATGATTAGCAGACTTTGGGGGAAATCCTGATTGGGAGAAAGAGCAAAACAGGAAGGAAAGAAAAAAAAAAAAACGTGAACCCTGAGAAAATAGAAACAGCATATGCAACAGAAGAGAGATTTTTTAATATAAAAGTAAGATCCAAGGGTATTGTAGCTATGAAACAAGAATGGGATATTGAGAATGAGAAAAGGTGAGAAGGAAGATTAACAAATGAGTGATAACAGAGCAGAAAATCCACTGAAAGGTGGCGTATGGTTCTCACAGGGCGAAATCCTGCTCTAGAAGGGCCCTTTTCCAACGGCTCCACGGAGGTAAGCAGTTGTAGAACAGATTTAACCACAACTTTTTTTAAAGTAAAAAAAAAATCTGAGCCCTCTAGCCACCCATTTCTTCTTCCAAAGTGACAGCAATTATTCTGAGAAATTAAAACCATCACGGAAAAGGCTACATTATAGTTTATTGTTGTCCTAATTCAATTCAGGGTGACAAGTGCAATCATTGCTACTGCATTTTACGACTCTGAGGCAGCATCACCCGAAGACAGTTTCTACCTTTTTAAAACACAAGATTCTTAACACTAACAGATTGTTTCGCCATCTTGAACCACGTGATCTGGAGTCAGCTACAGTCTTGACCAGGTGGTTTCTGCTCTCTCACCCTAGGCAGGTGTCCCTACACAGCTGGGTGTGTTCACTCCGGGCCATCTTCACTTCCCCAGAGAGGCCAGGTAGATGTACCAGAACAGAGACACCAGGTTGGCAACAAGCACCCGGAACTGCCAAAGCGAACACAGGCCACAGTGAGCGAAGTCCTGACTGCGCTTCCCAGGCACCCATCCCCCAGGACTGAGCCCATCCGCCTACTACTGTATTCACTGAGCCTTACTTTGTACTGAGCACTGTGCTGGAGGGGTGAGCGGGACTCTGCCTAGCCATGTTACAGGCCAGGAGGGGAAACTGACGAGAACTGTCCCACATCCTCCTTCGCTGAGCACTAGCTCCTGGCTTAGCTTCCCAGCCCAGGACTGGTCAAGTGGTGGCCTCACCCAGCCCGCTGGTGGCCGCCAGCCCCCCCACCCCAAGCCATTACCCTGCTTTGATGCTCTCATGGATGTACTCCCACCTGAAATGCCTTTAGTCAGGGAGTCTCCCTGGCATATAAGCTCCATGAAAGTAGCGGTCTGGTCTGTCTTGTTAATCACTGTACCCCTAGAGTTTAGAACAGTGGGGCATACAGTAGGTGCTCAGTATTTGCTTAATAAGCTTCACTGCCCCTGAGGCACTTGCCTGCGACCACCTCAAATGGAAACCGTGACCATGGCCTCCTGGCGCTCTGTCCCCAGGGTGCCCAGAAGGGTTCCATTTTCTAGGCTCTCCTACTGTCCCATCCTCAGACTCCTTCACATCCTCAGCCCTTCTGCCTTTCTGTGTCTATTTCCTTTGCTACATACATTAGAATGTATGTAGGGCCCAAAGCCCTCATTGCCTTCCCTTCCTGTTCCTTGGTTATACTCCCTGGCAAAGCTCCATTCTCCCTGCTCCCCTGCCACCCTGGGGCCCTAGGTCCACGCACACGAGGGGCTCCAGTCGGCTCCCTCTGCCGTCCTCTACAGGCTTGCCCCTCCTCTCCCCTCCAAGTACCCATCCTACCTCCTTTTGCCTCAGTGTGGCCCCGCCCTGGCCTCTGCCTTCCCCAAGGAAAGAGGTATGGATGGGAGGTCACCAGTGAACAGGCACCACTCTCTTGTCTTAGTAAAGAAGAGCCTCTGTCCAAAGCATCCCTCTGCCTGTGTCCAAACCCCATGCACCCTCTTTAGGGTAGAATATGGCCTCTCCAAGCTTCAGAGACCCTCTCCTATCACTTCTCCCCACCTCGTCACACACTTCTTGAGAGAACTTCGCAGACTTAACGATTTCTTTTCTCCTTCCCCACCCACTGCTCAATTCACAGCAGTCTGGCTTCAGCCCTCACGGAGCCACTGAAATTGCTCCTGGGAAGGTCACTGATGAGGATTGTTGTTAAAGTCAATGAAACTAACTGATTTTCATTTTCCTTTAACTCCCTGCAGTGACTGTGGTTGTGTCACTGCCACCTCTGGTTTTCTGCTACTCCTTGGTGTGTGTGTGTATGTGTGTGTGTGAGTGACCACCCGGCCTGCACCTCCCTCCCTCTTCCCATCCTTGCAATGGAGCTCTGCTCCAGGGGGTTCTGCCTCAGGTCTGTCTCTCCTTTCTAAAGCAGGGGGAAACCAAGTAGGTTACTTAAATGGTGTGCAAAAAAAGCTTGAGGCTGCTCTCCTTGGAAAAGGCCTGTCAGAGTGGCTAGCCCTTGCCTGGGCTCTGGGAACTTAGAGTTCCTGTGGGTTCCTACCTTTCCCCAACGGATAAGAATGGCCTCTGTGCTTAGACTGCTGGCTAAAACAAAGCAGTTCCTTCTGGGAGTCTGGAATTCTGGTAAGCACCAGGCAGAGGGTGCCTATGTGACTAGCTCTCCCCCAAGCCCCAGGCACTGGGTCTTTACAGGGCTTCCCTGGACAGAAACGTGGCCTGAGTGTTGCTGCGTTTCGTTGGTGGGTGAGAGCTTGCCCTGCGTGACCCTCACGGGAGGGAGGGAGCGTAGGAAGGCTGCAGTGGATTCCTAAGATGCAGTTGCAAATCCTTGCTCTGAGGCTGTAATACACCCACGGCCTTCAGCAGACGCTGTGCCAAGCCCCGCCTCCAGATCTCTAGCCCTGGGCGTGGTCTTGGGGCTGGACACAGGTGGGCTGTCCTCGGTGTGTAAAGACGGCGCAGGACCGCGGGCCCCTCAGCCTTGCCCTGGTGAGCTCTTCCTGCAGCTTAGAGCCCCTCCAGGCTCCCACCGTGCTGAGTGGAGGCCCAGTTTCAGCAGCCTGCCTCGGGCCGCGACCCCCGGTGCCCAGAAGGGCTGAACCTGGTGCGCGGCGCCCCGACAGCATCCCTGCCCCCAGGGTCCTGCCTGCCGCTTGCCGCTCAGGGCTCAGGCGCACGCTGATGTCAGGGCAGGTAAGGCCGGACTCGCCTCTGCCCCACACCCTGCTGGGCACGGCCACCGCTCGGCTCCCGCACGCAAGCCCAGCGGTGACCCACGGGGCCAGGCACTGGCAACGCTGCGCCCCTGGAAAACTCGAGCTGTCCTGGACTGGAGGCTTTTCAGAAATGTTTCTGGGACCAAGGGATGAGGTGTGGGCACACGCTTCGCCCGTCCACATCCAAAGCTGCTAATGATTCCGCGCGGAGAGAAAACCACCAATGGTTCCAAGAAGGAACAAGGCTGGTGGAGGATGAGGCCCCCTCGGGCTCCGCATGGTGTCAGCTGGCCCTCACCTGCAGAGGGACGTAGTTGATGTTGATGAACTGCACTGGGGTCCAGACTCGCCAGTTCATGCGCAGCGCCGGCCAGAAGCTTCTCCTTATCTGGACAGAGAGAGCAGCTGCGTCTCTCCCCTGGAAAGGAGAGGAGTGTGGACAGTAAGTGATCACCACTGCCCTCAGAACTGAAGCGGGGGTGCCACGGTCTGGAGGGCCCCAAACCCTAACACGATGGTTTTGAAAACTGTGGATTTTGGGGCGCCTGGGTGGCGCAGTCGGTTAAGCGTCCGACTTCAGCCAGGTCACGATCTCGCGGTCCGTGAGTTCGAGCCCCGCGTCGGGCTCTGGGCTGATGGCTCAGAGCCTGGAGCCTGTTTCCGATTCTGTGTCTCCCTCTCTCTCTGCCCCTCCCCCGTTCATGCTCTGTCTCTCTCTGTCCCAAAAATAAATAAACGTTGAAAAAAAAAATTTAAAAAATGAGCCCCAATAAGGTGATTCTGAATGTCATCTGAAAGGATAAGTGCATAAAAAATAACTATCTTGAAAAATAATAACAGGGGAGGCCTAAATTACTGAAGATTTAAAAAATACTCTATGGTAATTAATACTAATAATTATGGTAATTAAAAGCTAAAAAATAAAAGACATACGATGGAAATAGAATCCAGCAAAAGATAGAAGAGTCCAGATAATGGCCTGTACATATGAGAATGGCAGTATATGATAAAGTTGACACTTCAAGGCACGGGATTGTTTGATAAATGGCAATGAGATAATTTGCAGTTGAAGTGGAAGAAACAAGCCAAGTGTATCTCCCACATATAATTAAAAAAATAAGAATACTGGAGGAAAATATAGAATATTTCTATTATGTTTGCATTTGTCAAAATGCACATAATATCATAAGAGTAAAAGAACAAAGTTTAAGAGAATATTTCCAGTATCTTCCTTTAAAGAAACCCACAAAGAAAAAGAATCACATATTTGAATACATGAATTTTTTAAACTCCTGCATGGAGAAACACACTATAAATGAACTATTTTTGTAACTTCAAATGTTTAACTTTATATGAAGTTAAAAGATAAACACCTAGGAGCGCCTGGGTGGCTCAGTCGGTTAAGCGTCTGACTTCAGCTCAGGTCATGATCTCATGGCTCATGAATTCGAGCCCCACGTTGGGCTCTGTGCTGACAGCTCAGAGCCTGAAACCTGCTTCGGATTCAGTGTCTCCCTCTCCCTTTGCTCCTCCCCTGCTCATGCTGTCTGTCTGTCTCTCTCTCAAAAATAAACATTTAAAAAAAAAAAAGACAAACACCTAAAAAATGGGGAAAATATCTGCAATTTGTATCCGGCAAAGGATTGATCTCCTTAATATATACAAACACACAATCAGTGAGAAAAAGCCTACACTGATAGAAAATAAGCAAAGTTCATAGAATATAGGAGGTGTATAAAAAGATATTCAACCTTATAAAGATGTATATGTTGTTTTTACATATCAACCTGCAAACTATTTAAAAGAAAAATATAACCATGATTGTCAAGAATGTGGGGAAACAAACCTCACGTGGAGGAGAAAGAAGCTCTGGGGTCACAAAGCCTGGGTCTGACTCGATTCAAGGGCTCGTAAGTTATGAGAACTTAAGCCATGGGCCTCAGCTTTCTCATCTGTAAAATGGGGTTGCCTTGTGGCTCAAATGACACGAAGGGCTCAACGTGGGGCTTGGAACAAGTGCTCATAGATGTCTGCCGTTTGTATTACTATGTACCACCACAGGGAGGACACGTTGAGGACAGCCTTTTTGGATAAGGGACGGACATATGGTGGACTAGCAAACACTGTGTGGTCCAAACATGATGTCTATGATCAAGAAATGCTAGATGTCGGCACAGCGCAGGGAAGAGAGAAAGTGATATTTTAACAGAGTCGTATGCTGACACTTGCGGTGAGCATAGTGTAATGTATTGAGAAATTGAGTCACTGTGCTGCACACCTGAAACTAACATAACATTGTGGGTCACCTATATTCAAATTAAAAAAAATTTTTTTAATGCAGATGCAGAAGCATCTATCGTGTGTGTGATATAACGTGGTCCAACACAAGGCATTTATGTTGGGCGCTTTACACACCTTGGTAACATACGATACGTGGATTTAGGGTTTTTGTCTATTAATGAAAAATATATTCCTTTCATAGCTAGAAGGAAAAAAAAGAGACACTCCTGTACCTTCACTTCTAATGTGGGTATCCTTTGCTTCCTACCTCAGGTTTTCTTTTCTTTTTTTTTTAACTTTTTTTTTAACGTTTTATTTTATTTTTGAGACAGAGAGAGACAGAGTATGAACAGGGGAGGGGCAGAGAGAGAGGGAGACACAGAATCTGAAATGGGCTCCAGGCTCTGAGCTGTCAGCACAGAGCCCGACGCGGGGCTCGAACTCACGGACCGTGAGATCATGACCTGAGCCGAAGTCGGACACTTAACCGACTGAGCGACCCAGGCGCCCCACCTACCTCAGGTTTTCTAACGGCTTCCCAAACACTTCTTCTTACTATCAAGGACTTACTAGCAATCATGGTTGAGATTATGCATCTTTCCTGCTTCCCCCGCAAGGATCACTTTTGGCCACAGGGGCATTCTCTTCAGTAATAAGACCTCAAGGTGCTGCTTCAAAATAAAACCTGCAGAAGCATTTGCCTGCTGTGATTGGTTGGAACGATTACTTTCAGGGCAGAATGTGATTGGTTGGAACGATTACTTTCAGGGCAGAACAGGACACATCTCAGGCACACAGTGGACAGAGAGATGGTGAGAGGCTGGAGGTGTAGTGAACTGGGAAGGGTCTTAGGCTGGGCACGTTAGAACAGACATGCCTAGTCATTTGCGTGAACACACCTCCTGTGGTGAGTTGTGAGGTTTTCAGTCTATGCTGGTCTGTTAGCCTCTTCAGAGCACTTATGATGTTCAGGCACTGAATTAGCACAGGCTTCTGCGATACCATTAGGGGCCTGAAACTTCTGTGTCGTGAGTCCCATAGACCCCCTTCTCAGAATACTGTTTATATAACATATATAAGATTACCAGGGAACTATACTGAATACAGCTACCAAAATATTCAGAAAAGAATCTTATTGGGGTGCCCGGGTGGCTCAGTCGGTTAAGCGGCCGACTTTGGCTCGGGTCATGATTTCGCAGTCTGCGAGTTCGAGCCCCGCGTCGGGCTCTGTGCTGACAGCTCAGAGCCTGGAGCCTGTTTCAGATTCTGTGTCTCACTCTCTCTGACCCTCCCCCGTTCGTGCTCTGTCTCTGTCTCAAAAATAAATAAACGTTAAAAAAAAATTTTTTTTTAAAAAGAATCTTATGATAGACCAGTATATGTGCTTCCTTAACACATTCAGTGACAAGACTTGAAGGCAGGTGCAGGGGGTCCAGAAACATAAAAGATATTTTGGGATGTGTGATATCAAGACCTCTGTGATTTCTTACTGCGGACCGACAGGTACCGCCAATATGACTGGGGTTTGTGTCTGACATTCATAAAAACAAGAGAGAGAAGTTTCAATTTTGGTGTGCTGGAAAGTTCACAGACCCTCTGAATTCCACCCACGGATGCCAGGTCAAGAATCGCTGTGCCCCGCAAAGAGCTATCGCAAGTACTATGGCAGCGACCAACCTCCAGGAAGTTCATGACGAGGAGAAACAACAACAGGAAGGCCGGTGCAAAGAGGAGGCGGTCCAGGAGGAGCCTCTTGACCCCAGCCCAGGGGACCTCAGAAGGGATCCAGTGCTCCATGAAGAGGTAGAAGAAGTGACTCAGTGGCCCTGTGAAGAAGAACCTGAGGCCCCGCAGCGGGGGTGAGCAGGACTGCCATTTCCTGGATGTGTCCTTCTTGCGTCCAGCTTCACCCCCCAACCCCAGGTCCTAAGCCCTGCTCCCTGGGTCCCCCATCCCTGACCACACAGGTATGTGTGGTCCTTCTAGAAAACAGGCTTTCTTTGAATCTGCTTCAAGCATTGTCTTTTGTCCCTGATAGACCAGATCCCCCCTCAATCTTCACGCGGCCAGCTCCTTCTCAACACTGTCAGCTTGGAGACCTCCTGATTGTTCTGGACAACGCACCAGCTGCTGTCTCAGCCACTCTCAATTCCAGGTCCTGTTCCACTGCCTTCATAGCATTTATCACTACATGTCCTCATCTCATTTGTTTAGTCACGTGGTGCCCTCTTCGCCCTGCTACAGGTACGCGTCACAAGACGGATTGTGTCTGTCTCATCACTGCTGTGTCCACAGTGCCTAGAACGTGGCCTGGCTCAGAGGAGGTGCTCAGTAGTAAGTAAGTGGGGGCACCCCTGGTATTAGAGCTTCTTAGCAAACCCCGTTGGGTAGTTAGCAAGAGTGAAGCCTGGTGCTGGGCACTGGCTTGTCTGTCCTGCTACTGTGCATTCCCAAGTGTAGAATGCTTGGGACAGAACTGAACCCAGCCACACCATCTGCTGGTAAAACACATCCACATTTCCGTAAGATTCAGCAATAAAATGCGGGGTAGGGACCTAAGGGTCTTCTCATTTTTGACACTAAAGTCCTTAAACAAGTGGTTCTCAGCTGTGGCTTCCTGTCCTGCCACAGGTTATGTGGCCGGGAGCAGGTCCTCAGTGAGAGGGAACGGAAGTCAACGCCATAAACCGTGAGTGGGTGAGGCCTCTCAGGTGATCCTGACTCCCTCCTTCCCTCCAGGAGGATTATGGCTTCTCTTTATCTACATTACAGGACAGCTGTGGTGGCTGCAACCAGCGGGCTTCCGAAGACGAAGGGATATTTGTGAGTTTTAGATCAAAAACAAAACACGACTTCAAAATAATCCATCTATACAAACACTATTGTTGGCCAGAGAATGTGATGTGGATTTAATTGGGTAAAACTCCTGAATCTCTGTGTTCTTTGCAGTTCCAAAAGTGATTCTGAAACTGGACATTTTTCAGGATTCCTAAGTATTTATTTTCTGGTTGTTTAAGCTATGAAAATAACAGAAGCAACTGCAATATTTGAGTAGTTTTCCTCTTTCACGGTCTTTGTGTCTTGAAGTCTAATTTAGGTTCAGGTGAATTATCTGCCCTCAGATCTCTTGGCCCAATGAGGACAGCCACCCCCACTCATGTGATTCAAAATGAAAACCATAAAACAAGTTAATGTTATCCATCATTCTGACTTTTTTCCCATGATTACTTCAACACTTTTTAAAAATTATTTCTCAAAATTAGGTTATTTCAGAGACTTGGTCTTGATACCCTAGCTTTGTCATGGTTAGTCTGCTCCTGGTTAGATCAGCCCCTTTGTGAAACTCACCCATAAATGGCGTATCTGAGAGGCCCGCTGACATCTAGCTTTTGGGAGTTTTCTTTTTTCCGCTGCTTCGCCATCATCTGGGCCAGGAAGTTCCCAAGTGCTGACAAAATGCCACTGTGGACAGAGATGTCATCAGAAAACGGGGGCAACCAGCAAGAGGGGGGCCATTCCTGCATGTACTTAGCGTGGCTGTTCTGAGATCATGGTGGGGTGTGTAGAGAGGAGTCCTTTTTTTTTTTTTTTT